AAAAGAATCTGTTTCCTCTCTTTGTAGAACTGAACAACTCCAAGGAATGTTGAACCTTAAACTTTATTTAATAGGGAGGAAGGGCTTCCAGATTTGGATCCTTTACCTTGGAAGCACGAGGGCTTAAGCTGATACTGCAGACCCGTCTGAGAAAATGCAGCGTTTACAGTATCTGCATCGCATGATGTAATGTGTTGATCAATCTCTAATGGGGAAACAGCATTAAAAAACTGCTATCAGAGGAAATAGCCATTGCTTTATGCTTTAAAAGTGAAGATACTGCCTTCTCGACATCAAAGTCTAGGATGAGAGAGCTTTAGTTCTGAAAGGCCTGAATGTATTCAGACCTTGCACAGCAAACCCTGTAGTCAGGCAGGGTGACACACTGTTTTCAAGGTAAAATGTGAATGATATGATATTTGATACTTGGGGTTTTAATATCTCGAAAAACATTCTTGGAGGGTAACAAGATTTTCTGGAAGTGAGCCACTTTCGAATGCTATTGCCAGCACGTCTGCCTACTCTGGGTAGCATCAGAAACTGTGCTGAAAAATTAAACAAACATAGTTCTTGGCATCTAAACAGATGGGAAAGGACATGTTGACTCCCAAGCCTTTAGCTGAGGAGGTAGTCTGTTTCTCATTGTTACCACTGTGCAGTGAGGAATTGCAAAACACCCACATAGATTTTCAGACCTGCTAGCTGCACTTAACCTTTAATCCTGCAAGTACTCAGCCATGAGCATATAATTTTAAACGTCTGAGTAGTCCAACTGACTCCGATGGGAATACGCACTGAGTGAAGTTAAACATTTGCATAAACGTTTGCAGGATCAGGATCTTTCACTACAAACACAATTCTTGCACTACAAACACAAACTCGGCTCAGTCTGAGTACTCAGCTCAAGCTCTCAAGGCATTAATAGGCCTATATCCTCTACAGATGTATTTTAAATTTCATGTTAATGTGTGATTTCTATGTTATAAATCGTCTTACATTAGGCTAATGAGTAACCTTTCTCATGAGAGAGGAGGAACAACACACTTTCTGACATAACTGCATAGGTTTGAAAGACAGTAAGCCAAACTGGATCAGCAACATACTAGCTTCCGTGTATCAAAGAGGTTCAGGCATCTCAATCGGATTTTTGGCCTTTTAAAGTTTGTAAAACCTATTTTCTGTGTCTTAGACCTGATCTGAAAATCCTTCCTGTCTTTGCAAGGACAAGATTGCTTGCATGAGTGACTCACCTATTCCTAAAGGTGAGGACTGCTTTTCATTCACACTTTCGGAGGATTTGTTCACATCTGATCAGGTCATTTAACTCCGGAAAAGGATGAGCAACTTTTGTGGTCTTTAGTTACAAGAAGATGAACACTAACACTCTGAATTAGACTCTGGTCATGGTTATGTCTGGTTTTATACCCGCTTTCAAATAAACTTGGTGAAATTCCCCCTGGTTTACACCCTAGCTAACTACATCACCATTTGACTCATCGAATCTAGGTGTCTGCATTACAGATCTAAGGCAAAGTTTTGATGATTCCTTCTGCAAATTTCACTCCTATTTGTACTCTCACATGCTTGATCTCTCTTTTGTTTAAAGGGCTGTGGTTGATACAGAGGCATTTATATTCTGTGAATCATTCTAGCAATGCTGCTCTTAAAATATGCTAATATTTTCTTTTGAAATGCACTGGAAAAATCATTAAAAATATCTTACGTTTTTCTTGAATTCTTTGCTTTAATTGAAGTGCTTTTTTTTTCAGTTTTGCTTTGCTGACTAAACACGTTAGGACTTTTGAGGCATAGAGGTATGTGCATGCGAATGCGTTGTAATAGAACAGGCAGCCTTTCCTAGAGTTAAAGCGACGTAACATTTTCCATTCTAAACCTCTGTGTCTTCTGTGGTCTCTGAAATATAAATGATTCAGGATGAAATCTGCCAGATTGGGACTTTGTCCAAATGTGAATATTTTGGAAAGATTTGAACAAAACTGGTTCAGCCAGTTCAGAATATCAGGAGAGTGAAAAAAAAAAAAAAAAGTGTGTTTCTTGAGCTAAATAGGCTCCTACAGCCTTTTTTGAGCATTTCTGTAACTTTATCAGCAGAAGGCTGAAAAATGAACTCTGACATGGAAGTAGCCTTCCTCGAAGTAGACATGTATTTGCTTGTTTGAGAAGAAATTAGTTTTGATTTGACTGAGTTATAAACCTTTGAAAACTGTGATTGAGCATGTGCAGTGGATTATTTCGGTAAGCTTGTGAAGCGTGCAGCTACAGAAGGATTTTCTGTACATGCACGGCTGGCTAATTTTGCTGGAAAGGGAAAAATCTATCTAAGCACATTGCTAAAATCAGTGAAAATACCTGGGGCTGCAGGGAGACCTTTGAGGATTGTCCCAAGATCTTTTAGACTATGAAAAGGGCAAGAAAAGGTGCTGTAGGCTTTGCAAGGTGTTTAAAGAGTAAGTGGCCTGCAGATTTTGTAAAGTTAAATGGGATTATGGCTCCAGAATGGAGCGCTTTACACACGTAAGTATATGATGTTTCCTGTGGGGAAGCAAGCCATGCACAGCACCCTCTCCCTCAGCAGATCTGCCCAGTGAAGGAATCCCCCAGCAGCAGGGAAGCTGCTTGTTCATCTCATGTCTAGCTGATTGTAGAGCTTAAGCGGCAGGAGTTTATCAGGCTGTTCACAATCTTGGCCTGTTGAGAGTGCTCTGAATTATACAGAAAATCTTGCTAATTAAAATTTAGCCTTTGGGGTGGGGGGTGTGTGTGTGTCTTTTTAGACGCAGGCACAATCAGTGCTTTTGCAGGAACTGCACTCACTTGCATCAGACACACTTTGGATAAATCAAAAACTCTCATCCCGAACATCTGCATGTCTCCTGGCAGCCCATACTCTCCAGTGTACCTCACTTCAATAGATGCCAGTTATTTGATTCCAAAACTTGTATTTGGCTCAAATTGGGTGTCTCTCTGCAACTCCCTCCAAAACCAAGAATCGTAATGCTGTGTTTATTGAAAGAGTCATTTACTCTGAAGAAAGAGATCTCTTTTTATTTTACACTCCCCGAATGAATACTTATTTGGGATTTCTTCCTTTGTCTTTTCCCCCATCCTATCTCTCCATCAGGGTTCTGGCAGGTGGGAAGGTGTGCTTTTATTCACCGAAATCTTTGCATGCCAGACAACTTCTGCCCTGGCGGTGCCAACACTGGCACAAATCCCCTCCCTGACAAGACTGTCAGTGGAGTGACTGTGAGCAGGTGAGCTTTTGATGCCATTTCTTTTGGCTGCTGGATCTTTTCCTGCTCATGCAACAGAATTTCTGCCAGACCCCTGCCACATCCTGGCACGGCTTGGTGAGCAGTCTTCTGCAGAGGCGCCGTAGCCGCCAGTGCGGCTAGACTGGCAGAGGTCCGACACCACTATAGGCAGAAGGAGGACAGAAATGTGGGATATATTCAGAATGGGTGGTAGTAAACCAGCCTATTGATAAAATGTGGTGAGATGTCAGAGAACACCTTTAAAAACCGGGGACGTTCTGCTCTGAGTGCATACTGTGGCTCTGAAATAGACGGGCTTTTTAATTGTTAGGGAATGTGTCTCTTCCCTTCTTAGTTTTGCGTTCTCATTTCTTGATGTCTCACAGTGGGACGAGATAGCAGCAAATGCCGAACAACGGGAAACTCGGTGGCATGGAAAACCAGCAGCATGAGCTGCACACACGCAAGTCAGTGAACCGCAGTGAGAGCTAGCAGCAGCATAGCGTCTGTCCTGAGGTGTTTAAGGGTGGAACTGGGTAAGCAGAAAGAAAGGTAATTTTACCAGGCAATGACCCCATATCAACAGACCAGCCTCTAAGAGCGGAGCCCCGCTTGGGTCAACCTGCCGGGGAGATCCAGGCAGAGTCCCCCACGGCTCCCTTCAGGCCTGCGGAGGGGCGACCATGCTTCCAGGCTGGGCACTGCTGCAGCGCAGCGACCCCAGAAGTGCAAAGGGGAGCAGGTGCATGACCTCGGTGGGATGGCGGGGCTGTCGGGACCTTGGTGTCTCCCGTAAAGGCCACGGAAGAATCTCTTCGGTAACGTGAGGCAGAGACTTATCGAATGAGGTGCAGATAGCTGTCACGCAGGGGACGCTGGACATCCCCCAGCGTGACTTTGCTTTCTCACCTTTGAGGTTTAATGAAGACCTGCCTCAGGCGACTTCGAGGACAACACCTTCCCAAAGCGGGTTCTCCCTTCCCTTCAGCGGGAACAGCGGGGAGAGAGGCAGACGCGGGACTTGTGGCGGCCAGCCCTGGGAGCTTCTGTGGCCCCGGGAGTCTCTTCCATCACCCGCCAGTCCCGGTGGGAGCGGGAGAGCCCGCAGGAGGAGCGATCCGATCCTCGGAGAGCGCAGGGGAGGGAGGAGGCTGCAGCCACCAGCCAGCCCTGCGAGCCGGGACGGCTCCTCACGTCAGGGGGTTCCGCTCAGCGCGGCCACAGACACTTCGCCGCCGGTCGGCCCGGGGCGGCGGGAGAGGCGGCGGGCCGGGGCCCAGAGCGGTACCCGCC